ACCCAGGCACCCCTCCTGTTACAGTTTGTCAACTCGTGTATTTTACCCATTCTTCTTTGCTATTCACCTTTACTCTTTCCTGGATTGCTTAAAAAGTCTATGGCGTACTTCGTCGAACTCTGAAGACTGTCAGTTAGGTGAGTGGTATCCCATTGGGCCATATCGTTGACATTGTCACTGACAGGTACTTGATGTCATGCGACAAATTCACTGAAGAAATGTTGTCAGACTGTGAGCACCCACTTTACCCGCAGCTCCAACCTAGCGTCTCCTCAGGTAAAACAACAAGTCTTTTCAGAAGAATTTATGCACGTACGTCTAAGTATAAAAATTCCACTAAACTATATTTGCCACGTACTTTATGTGATGAAAATAGTATTAGGTATAACCTAACTAACCTTCTTTGCACTACTAAATAAACCATTTCCTCCACCCTTACAACACCAACCCGCATTGCTATTGTACTTCTTATATTTATAATCCTCTCAATTTTCTGTTTTTGTTTATTTTCTTCATAAGTGTGACATAATTTAAGCTGAGTTATAACTGTTAATTTTGTATTTCCCCTCACTATACTATATCAACAGAACACTAGATTCAATAATCTATAACATGGTAGAGAACGAATTAAATTTATTACGTGAAACCCTACTAGAGAATGGGTATCCACGATGATTTATCGACAAAAACATGAAGGAGAAGCCTCCGGTGTCAAGCATCACAACGATTCCTAAGAAGACTCTCTTCATGAACCTTGCAGCGGGAATTCTCAGAAACCGCCTTTCTAAATGTCTGAAGAAGACATTCCCAACAGCCACTCTACGTATCACATTCTCCTGCAGACAGTTAATCCAGTGTAACGCTAAGGACAAGATATCGCTTTCGGCCACTTCAATGTGTATTTATCTATTTACTTGCTCGAGTGGAGCAAAGTATATCGGCAGTACGCAACGTCAAGTCCACAAACGTATACTGGAACATTGGCCCAGCTTGGTTAGCCAGAGGAGAAAAGAAGAATAGCAACAGCTCGATCCTCGAACACCTTGTCATCTCCAGACATCGAGTACCACATGAATGCTTCACAGTGGTACACAGAGTCCCTCAATATCGTACAAAGGGACTTCGGATACGCCATTTGTACATAGCTGAAGCATTAGCTATTTGAGACCTGAAACCGAACGTGTGCATACAAAAACGATACATACATTCTCTGGCTCTACCATGGCCAGAGTAAGGTTCTTACTGTAATTTTGCTTCTTTCTTTTAATACGTAAGTTCACTATTATTATTATTGTTCTTAATACTTTTACTATAATTATTATTCCCATCATCCACATTTTATTACCACTCTATTACTGTTTATTAATAACATTGCTTTTTCATACAGATTTTATACATAAACACTTTATAGCCTCTCCACTAGTACCTGTCCATTCTACACGAGCTTATTGATTAGTCATTATCTCACACTTGTTAAGACATGCCAACTTCGGTCTCCTTTCTAACTTACAATTAGTCATCCCTTCTTACACCTTACACTATGTAGTACAATTTTCAACGACAAAGTTTACCAGTATCTGATTGGTCTAAAGATTTCTGTGTTAATTATAGTTACGACTGTACAGCTCATGAAAATGAATAGTCTAAAAGAAAATTTTATTCATTGTTTGTGCCTTTTTCTTATGACTCAATATGGGAATATTTCATTCAATCCATAACGTGCTAAAATTTCCAAACTGAATGGGCAATACTGTTTGAAACATACTCACTGTTATTATAATTATAGTTATTACTATAATAATAATTATTAATATATTTAATATTCTCACTTCGTGCTTCGAATATTTTTGACTTTATATCGTAAACATGAACAAACTCCTCTGGCTAATTTTGTTTTAATTTTTAATTTTATTTAAAGTAAATCAGATGCAATATTGTGACTAATGCTGAAAAATCCATTTTGTATTATAGGTACTGTTTTTAGAATATTATTATTATTAAAAATGATATGAACCACAAGTTACAGCTTTAGGCTGTGTAAACATGTTTGCTTTGCAAAATTATAAAGACTCACGGCAGTTCTCTGCATGAACTATGAACTGTGATAAGGTCTCATGGACGCTTCCAATCAAGAAAACTTAAGTAAGTATTATATCTATCGGCTTCCTTAGGCTAGTATATAATTAAATATAACTTCTGTAAAACTGAGTGAGATCAACCGAGTTTCCTTGACAGATATCCAATGCTATCTCTCTGTCACTAGTCTGAAACAAGGCAAAGCAGCAGGACCTGATTAAATTACTCCAAAGGTATTTAAGTACGGTGCACACCGTTTACTGTCTGCATTAACTGAGGTACTAGGCAGCGTCTGGGAATCATAAGAAGTCCAGTCGGGCTGGTGTAAAGTCACTGATTATCCCGATACACAAAACGGGAGACAAGTCTTCCTGTGATAATCACAAGGGGATTACCTTGACTAATATGGTATCTAAAGTTCTAGGCTCAATAATGATGTGTAGACAAGGCGGTGCTCAGGGAGAAACAAACACGAGAGAACCAGGCAGGCTTTAGACCAGGAAGGAGGTGTATCGAACATATATTCACCCTTAAACAGATTCTGGGACATAGGCATACTTACCGGCGTCCAACAATCGTTATATTTCTTGACCTAAAGGCGCCATTCGATTCCGTCGACCGATATGTACTATGGGAATTTCGAGAAAACACATTGCACTGATCAAGGCACTCTTCTCTAACTCATGTAGCCAGGTGAGAGCCTACGGAGAGTTGACAACTGTGATGACAACCAGTGGTTTCCGTCAAGGATTCCCAGTGTCCCCATTTCTGAATAATTTCACAATAGGTGTACCAATAGACTTAACCCTAACTCACTTCAGAGACTCAGGGATTGACTTGTTACCACCAGGGAATAATCTCATCGACTTAGAATATGCAGATGATATAATCATCATACCTGAGGTAAGACGCTGGCAAAATGTAGGGGCCTCTGAACACCTTGACAGGCAGCTATCTTCTCCAGTGTTTGGTATACGATTCGCTCCTACTGTAAAATATAAGATGATGCTGAAGGACTGCACTACAATAACTCCTAACTTAAAGATAGGCAGGATTCAAGTGGTAAGAGTGTGTTGACCACTTCATTTTTCTCGGAAGTTGCTTCACCTACTCTCAGCGCGTTGATCACTGACGACATCGCATCACGGAGAAAGATGGCTCGTTTGGTATTTGTCTGCCAACTTACCCACTCCTGGAGCAGACGTCATATCCGGCTGTCGACCACAAGACGTGTACACTGCTCAGCAGTTGGCTCCAAGGCCATTGAAAGTGGAAGATATGGAAAGGCTAGCTGTCTTTGATCATAAGTGTCTGTGTCCAATTCCCATGTTAGGTGGTATAATAGGATGAGGAATATCGAGGCTGGGCATCAGTCGAGTGCTAGGTAAGGAGGGGAAATCAATCAACGAGGTTGTGAAGGTACATCGATTGAGATTGCTGGGGCGTGTGTTACGTATGTCTAGCCATCGCTTTCCTCGACGGGAGATGTTAGCTGACATAGGATGGATCAGGTTGGAAAAGAGCTGGTGGTGGTCAAACGAAAACATGGCATCAGTCAATGAATTATTGATATAAGTATAAAACTTGGGCACTGTGGTAGAATATAACTCCACTATGGATAAGATTTTATTTTGATAAATCACACAGTGTTATGCAGTAATATTAACTGCTATTACTGTATAATACTGTGTGATTCATCAAAATAAAATCTTATCCATAATGAATCAGTCAATGAAATCCACAACACTTAGTTTAAGCCAGCCAGTCAAGTAGGGAGGTGTAGACTTCCTGGTTGGGGTCCTCGAGATGGTAAGAACCAATGGTTGGAGACAATCGGTAATATGGCTCAAAATCGTTCTCAATGAATAGCGCAGATGATGCATTCACTCTTTGTGACTTATAATGCCCAATGAAACTATACTGTTCTTCGTTATCACTATTCTTTTTGTCTCATATCTCTGTTTACCGCCTCTATTTTGCATTCCATTTTACTTTCTTCTCTTGCTTTGTGTGCTACATGGAGTGTGACTCCTTAACTGCTGCACAGTGGTGCAAAGTTCTATGTTGAAACCAGTCAGTCATTCAGCCAGTCTTCTTTTACAATATACAAATGAGTAGTCCGTTTCGTCTCCAAGATATGTGTAAATTTTGTAAACGTATTCAAAAGTGAAGCAATTAGTTTCAAAGTCTACATACAAGCATTTGCTAAATTGAAATATCAACATTCTTAGTGATAGTGTAAGTCCGACGTGTATCCGACATCTCTCCATCCCAAATATGAGAAATTAAAAATTAACTGGAACTTAGGCAAAACTATACCGACATATTCAAGTAAATTAGCAACATACCAGGTATTGTAAATCTTAAGTTACTTAATAGCATAGACACAATATCTTTAACAAATGTGATAACGAATGATTACTAATGTGAATTAGTAATTAGATTTCTTTTCAAATAAGGAGAGAAATCAATTAAAACAGATCTCTACACCTCTAGATTCGTCAAATTGATAAAATGAAAGATGGTAGTGATGAAAAATTGTTTGGTGCCCTCCGATTTCTGGTATTTCCTGATGTATTTTTCATTAATAAGCTTGGTAACATCATCAGTGTTAACTTGATTAAGAAGTGAGGTATACTGACAAATTGCATGAATGTTTAGGATTTTGTTCTTCTCTATTTGTAAATGAATTTTTATTTCGTAACCATTACACCTCATTATATATCGCGCCACTTGAGGTTGCCTCTTTTCGGTAGCTCCATAGTGCTCTACTGCTGATTTAATTAGTTGTCTTTTATTTTCTATTTTATTAATACTGGTATCTTAACAGTTTCTACATAAAATCAGTGCCACCAGTGTGGATACTCACAAATGTTCGATGCGAACTGTTACTTTGGTAAACCTCAAAATTCAAGATGACTTACATCTCCTTTGAGAGATTTCGTCTTAAGGATTGTAGCCAGTTTAGCTGCGATTAATTCGTCCAAAATTCTACGTAGTGATTTACGATCCATGCGGATTTTCAGACCGATTGAGCGTTCATGATCCCATATTAACTGACGTAACGAGTACTCTGAAGCAATTATACGATATTTTGCCAAATAATTAAGGATAAATGCACGACGATTTTGTCTTTGTGTTTCTAGAAAACAAATAATTGCAAAGTTACAAAAATGCGAAAAGTAGTACTTCACGAGTGACATACCACCTCTCAAACAGCAAGATAGGAAAACACGAAAACCAACGCTTGCTTGACAACACACAAACAGAGAACGCATCTTAATGTAGGGGATAAGTACTAAGTTTTTGAATAAAAGAATACTTAATGAAAACGTACAAAAAGTTACGTTTTTACGTAAATGAACAAAAACGCAGATTGTTCGCACAGACTATTATTAAGCTGCCACACATTTTGCTGCATGTTATACTGCAAGATAACTGTTAAGACACTTTACAAAAAGAATAGTAATTCTGTATAATATACACTGTCCACGAACTGCAGTAGGTTTCACAGGCCAATCAGAATAGTTTTGGTGTTGGTTTCCAATGCTCCAGCAGTGGTCTCAGGATAAATCAGTTCCCCATTACAAACTCAGTGTCACTTGTGATATGTAGCGTCCAGTGGATCACATGTTTTAAAGCTCAACTTTTTTGCTTTTAAAAAGAACCACGGTGAAACTTCACATTTAATTTGCGCTAAATTCACCATGCAGACACACCTAATTCCCTGGTGAGACTTCAACACTTGATCTGATATCCTATTATACAACTAAGAAAACGTGATTTCTTAAATCAGTTGCATGAACTCAATCTACAAATTATTGGAAATCACGTATCAAACGAAATTCACTTTAAAACTTCAAAATGCTAGTTACTACTGCAATAATCTGCGTCAGTGACACGGCGGTAGAATGCTCACCAACCACGCATGTGGTCCGGATTTCGATTCCCGGCCGACGCACTTCTTTACTTCGCAAAACCAGTAATAAGACTGATAAAGAGGGAATCTTGGGCATGAAACTAGCAACCCCACCCCATAAAAATAAACACCACTGCTGCTGAAACTTCAAGCCTCTAGCTTGAAGCCCTATGTTCCACTGTGATCGTATAGGAATAAAAACAACTACAGTAATCTATCGGAGCCCGAAATCTCACTGCAAAGTAACACAAAAATCCCAATAAATAAATCTAGACTTACGAATAGTTGGCAATGTCTGCAATACGGGAGTGGTTTTATTTATTTTAACTTCTAGGTTTTCTTCTCTATCCGCATCAGTCACTAAACTATAACTGTGAAAGCAAAATTTTTAAAAAGTTAACACATTAATTAGTTTTAAAACAAGAAGCGACATTGAAGAAAGGAAACTCCTTAGATGCATTCAATGAGATATTTAAATTAATCTACTTCTAAAATTTTCTTGATATGCATTCCCCAATAACTATATACTGCCTATTTAGAATTCAGTTACTCAAAACAGATTTTTCACATGTCAGGCCATGAGCAATACTTGTTGTGAAAGAGCTGATGATACTACCCAGTTGTTGAAGCTGAAGTAGATGGGTAGAGATTAGATTAATTAATATAATAGCTGGGAAAAGAAAGTTCCGCATAATATCTGCCTAACGGTTCCAACATTTATTCTAATCCTTAAAAGGGCAAAAGGATGCTTTTGTGAAGAGTTCTTTCACCAATATACTTCTTAAAATCCAAAGTTCTATGATTCTGGGTATAATTAACACCTGAAAACATGAGACTAAAAAACAATGTTTCAAGTCTGACTGTGTGAAAAATTGGCGAGTCAACAGTCGATGAAGTCTCACAACGAAATAAAAAATTTGACTAACCTTTGAAAACTTGTAACCCCTTTATTGCGTACAACCACATATAATTTATTTGTTTAGCCTATTTCTCTAATGTAATTACTTTTTCCCACTTATATCCCTGCTTGATAACTTTGACGTGTTGGTACGACTTTTGATAAACTCAACTGTTATCATAATATTGGTGTTTATCTGCTGACTATACTCTTCCGAACTGAAGAGAAAATCATTACGCTCAAATACTCTTTAAATTTTGTTAACTTCCAATACATTCTACAACTTCATCTCATCTTCATCAACAAAGCAGTGTGCAATTTTAGTTTCCTCGATTACCTTAACGTTTCACAAAAGCAAATGAAGTAATTGACGACGTAATAACAGTGTAATAAATAATTAAGATAATTAAAGAGTGTACTTGCTTAAAGCTAAATAAACTGACACAGAACATACTAGAGAACAAAAGTAGATTCCATTGACCGTTTCACGGCTTTCAATGCGCCAATTGTAACTAAACTTTTCACAGTGCGACGTAAATTGTACAAACTTGTTTTTGTTACCGCCAGAAGTTCAGCCATTGTACACTCATGCGAGGCTAGGATACGAACTATTTGAACTGATATAGATTCATCAATTTTGATTGAGGGAATAACTAACAGTTAAACAGAAAATTAAGGGAAAATATAGTAACAGGAAACATACAACCTACATATATATATATATATATATATATATATATATTGCCTAAGAATTGAACCTCAAACTCATGATGCACCTTATTATGATCATTAATATAAAAATAAAAAAGGTTCTATAGACATGCACTTTTATTGTAGTATCCATAGTCAGCATCATATGAGACATTATAAACCTCAACTATTAATTAATATCCGAACGTACAACCCAAGTATTCAAGTGGGAACTAAAGGGACTTTGAAGCAGTGATCAGCAATTTGGAAGTCAAACTTTTAAAAGAATAAACTGTTAAACAAGTCAAAACAAAACAGTCGAGCTATCATATCAAATCGAATAGTTTAAATGATACTTCGAACTTCACAGGTACTGCGTATGATTCAACCAACGTTGATAACTACCGAATAACTAATAACAAATTACACGGAGGTCTACTACACGTTACCAGGTTTTTATGGAAAGAAATACATCGAGTTTGCTTCAGTGCATCTTGTATCCATTAATTGTGTTTGTGATTTGTACTTTTAGCTAACGTGCATGTTTCAAACTACTGCTGTTCACCAGAGAAAAACAACCCATTTCTAGTATGTCTCTAGATGCCAGCAGAGAAAGCTTGTACCCTTCAATATAAGGTAAGGTCACCCTATGACAGTGATTGCTTTCATCCTTAGCTATATCTAACTAGCTGTGGTTGTGAGACCTGGCCACTGAGAGTGGAAGACATGAAAATATTAGCTGTCTTTGATCAAAGGTGCCTGCGCTCTATTTCCCATGTAAAGTGGCATAATAAGGTGAGCAACATTGAGGTTAGGCGTAGAGTTCTAGGTAAACAGGGGAAATCAATCGACGAAGTCATGAAGTTACAAAGACTGAGATGGACATGTGTTACGTATGCCAAGCCATCGCCTCCCTCGACGAGCAATGTTAGCGGATATAGGGTCAGGCTGGAAAAAAGCTAGCGGCGGTCAAACAAAAACTTGGCATCAGTCAATGAAATCCACAACAGTTGGTCTAAGCCACGTAGAAAGGTGTAGACTTCCAGGCTGGGGTCCTCGGGACGGTAAAAATCTATGGTTGGAAACAATTGGTGACATGGCTCAAAATCGTTCTCAGTGGCGCAGATGCATCCACTCCTTGTGACTTATGATTTCCAATGAAACTGTTTTGTTTTTCTTTACCACTCCTTTGTCTCACACCTCTGCTCACTGTTTCTATTATACTTTTCTTGTACTTTCTTCTCTTGCTTCGAGTGCTACACGGAGTGTGGCAACTTGAACTTCCGCACATTTGTGCAAAGTTCTATGTCGAAAACAGACAGACAGATATCTAACCGACATTTATGTGATGATAGAAACAACAGAAAAAATCATTTCAAGTTGTAAGGCTTTCTGAGTCAGTGAAATATCCGGACCTGACAACACTGCAACAGTAATAGAATAATACTGAATAACAGAATATGTAGAACATGTCCTTGTTTTGAAACACCTTTTGGTGAGAAACAGCATACTACTCTTCCATATTACTTTGTTTATTAGATATATCACATAATGAAACAGTATGATGTACTGAATGACGTTTCGAGCACAATTTATTGTCCATAATCATATCAATTATATCGTTTCCTTTGTCCTCTCCTATTTGTCGTAGAGGCAGTAAAATTTTCCAGATATCTGGGACAGGTGTTGAATCATTCCTATTACACGTATTTGCAGTTGATTCGATGATTAAAGCTTCCGTTATCAATCTCTCCCTCCACTCTGTTACATTAGATTTTAAAACTGTCATCTTATCCCATCCTATTGTATGGTTGTGTGTAATTGCAAGTAGTTTTATAGCTGAACTATTCTCCAGATTTCTTATCTTATTCGGCTCAACTAACCTAGATTATGCTAGGCTTTATGCTCTATTAGTCTGATTGCACCTGTTCTACTATTTTGACCTAAGTATTTGACCTGGCAATCATTGCAACAGGGTATTAGACAAACTAAATTGTTTGGTTTTATTGGCTCCACAGGACCCTTTAACCGACAAAGCTAGTTTCTAATTGAGTTTGTGGGTTTGAATGCCACTTTTATTCCTGCCTTGTTAAGAATTTTGCGTAAGGTTTCCGAGGTTCCTTCATTGTATGGAAGTACTACTGATGATTTACATTCCTTATTGTTGTTGCCACTATCCTGCGCATGTTTAACATGCATGTCGTTATTAATATTATTATTATCACTACCACTACTATAATTATTTATTTTATTTTTACATTTCCTTACATACTTTCTGATTAATTTATCAAGGTAATCATTAAGTTTCAAAGTTTCTCTTATACGCCTCATTTCGTGTCCTAGATATTCCTTAATAATACTTAGTTTTTGTGACCTATTACTTAAACATTTCACCAATCCCACTTTTACTGACACAGGATGGGATGATCAGAAATCCAAGTATTTGTTTGAATATGTGGGTTTCCTGTAAACAATAGTGTTTAACTTCCCATCCTTTTTTCCTTTTTACGCTACAGTCTATCATTGGAAGCTCCCTTTCCTGACTTTCCAACTCATAAGTGAGTTGAATTGCCTCCATCCTTGAGTTGATGTGTTCGAAAAATCTGTTTATACCCTGTGTTTTGAGTACAGTGTATATGTCATATACATTCTTCTTTCATACTTTTGAAGTGGGGCTGAACGTTTCAATCGCTAAGTTTTCCCACCTATCTATGAATATAACTGCCACAACCGGGGATATTGGTGACCCCATGGAAACTTCCTCAGTTTGTTTGTATATTTTCCGTCGGCATTTAAATACTACCTCTACGACAAATAGAAGAGAACAAATAAAACTACCAAATTCAAGTTTCGAAGTCGTGTGATTATAATTGATATGATTATGGACAATAAATTGTGTTCGAAAAGTCGTCCAGTAAATAGTACTGTTTCATTGTGTAATATAACTAATAAACAAACTAATATGGAATTACTCTAATATATATAGCATTTTTATTACAATACACAACAATTTACCAATCAAGTGGCGATATGTTTGTTAACAATAATTAGTCAGTGTCAAAATGTCAATGGGGTGATAATTAACGAAGGAAATTAATATATATATATATATATATATATATATATATATATATATAATATGGAATTACTAACACAGCGCCCGTGTTTTACACATTATATTAGCATTCTACACTATTACAACATTTAAGAAAATGGTATATATTGTTAGCAACACCACTTTTAGTACTAACAGAAAATAAGGTACTGAGTAAGACGTTACACTAAAATAACGGCATCTAACCACCATGCATAGGTTTATATTACAAGGAGACTTCCAAATATGAAAAAGCAGGTTCGGAAACTTATTAGAAATGGTTACTTACATGCCAATAGTCTTTTAGCGTACACCAGACACTGGAATTTGCTAGACACAGGAAAATAAGAGGAAGCGTTTGTGGATATCAGTGTATCGCACAGAGCCAAAGTATTCTGATTTTCTTCCGATTTCAACCCAAGGAGACTGCCGTCGGGATTTTCAAGCTTTACAGCTGATAATTCGAGCTGGTCATCCACGCCCTCATAGTCGTCATCCAAAGCATCATCAGAGTCAATGTCATATTCTTCTTTCTTACACTTTTTAAATCCAAAAGCATTTTCACCTTGACCACACTCAGATATCCAAGAGTCCATACTAAACGGCTTTTTAAGCGACACCAAATTTACCATGCAAGGATACCGATGATGTGGATCGACCGCGCAACCTGTTTGCTGAAGGATGTTAAGCATATCATCATCATCTACATCAACATCACTCTTGTTAAGTAGTACAGCACAAGCATCCCTGAAACTTGTATTAATGACATCTAGCCAACCATGTCGCACACCGAATTTCAGAGTACGCTTGATTCCTTTGGAAGTAATGCCGATTAACTGAAAGCAAAGTCATGGGAAAATCAAGCTTTAAAATCTGCTGTCAGTTAGATACTACAAAAAAGTCTTTTCCAGTAAATAGATAATTTACTGGGAACAATTATTTAAAATAATTGTATCTTCATAAAAACAGAGAGAATAAGAAAGTCGACGAATAAAATATAAGTTTAAAAAGTGAAAGCGACCTGCTTTGTTACTAGTAGTATTGAACTATATATATATATATATATATATATATATATATATATATATATATATATATATGGATGCAAAGAAGCTATATTGATCCTTCTCATTTTCTAACGGCTGACCAGCATCCTTTGAAGAACAAATGGACATCTAGAAATCCTATGCAACTCCTTATACATGATCAGTACTTTCAGAACAATATGCTTCAGATGCTAGTTGGGAGCAAGATATTAGATGTCAGGTAGTTTGATAAGCTTGCAACCAACTAGCTAGAGAGTTGAGGTCCAAATCCAAACCAGTAAGTTCCTATACGGCACATCATTCATTCGACCAAGGCGAAAGTTTGAAACACGAGGTATTGCTTGTTTCTTCTTATTCAACATGCCTTAACATCAAATAGCTTCCCAAACTCTAGTTGAAAAGAACCTACACCTCCTCCCAATAAAGATGAGCAAAAGCACTTTTTCATTTTAAGAAAATGGCGGGACCGATGATTAAGTTTGCATCAGCACAGGTATTCGACCTACCAATTACTGACGACCTAACTAACAGCTGTTGAGCATTTACTGGTTATAATTTTGTCCTAGTTACCTAAGGTAACATGTCTAATCATAATGGTTTATGTGAAGTTTTAGATTACCAAGTATTTGCCTGAATGGTACACAGAAGTCGGATATTTTGCAAAAAGGCTATGAGTACAGACGTTTACGTTGTGTATATAACTCACAGTTCATCGATCACTAAAAACATGCAATTTCTAAAAACTGAGTATAAAAAAATAATGTAATTACAAACGTCCAACAAACCTTGCGAATTTCAAATCCAAAACATTTGTGTTTTGGTTTGTTCAGTAAAAATTGTGATATCCTGTCCATAAACATTGCAGGCGGGAACGGGAAGTGTGTATAATATTTGCGGTGATGCAGCAACAGACCTGGAGTCACAGGCTTTTTACCAACCTTCATTAAGTAAGGCTAAAACGACTTCGATCACTTTTAAACATACAATACCTGGGACTTTATTATACCCATTTTTTCAAGTTTTTGACGCATGTACCATATAGTACCAGTTGTCATACCAGAAGATAGTAAACCATCATAGTGGGTAGTAGATAACCCATTGTATTTCTGCCTAAAATATTCAGTTAAATGCAAAATGGGGAGATGATGATAATAAGACCGGAAAATATGGCATATAAACACAATACACTTGAAAATTTCCAAACGACACCATTACTTCAAATGAACAGAAGAGACCAGTTAACACAAGCGAGTTACTTCAAATTTCAACCATATCTAACAAATTGCTTGAACCGACAGAGTGAACTTAAATAGGGTAACCAAGTTGAGCGAAATTTTCATAACATGAAACAAGTTAAGTAAGTACGGTTTGAAATTCCTCAATAAGATTGTACTGACGGGTGATGGTGAAGATCTATCAAAAAAAATTTGCTTCCACTTTTAAGAAAAATGAAGTACTGATACAAGGACCCAAACATACAGCTTGAGGAATAATAATAATAAGTAGTAGACAAAACTTTTTTGCATGACCGGATTGTAGGTATTGATGTATCTTAACCACTGAATCGAAGCTACAAACACCAAAATAAATACTCTGTTATGTTGATCAATTAGTTGCTTAACCCATCGGGGAGTGAAATCAATTTCGGTATGAAAGAAAAATACATGATATCATTGGATGTATCTTCCTCATTCGCCTTTGATAGAAACACTTGATTACAAAGGTAATGAACTGATAAAGCAAGGTATAGAGACTGGAATTCCCGTGTCTTCCCTAGAGGAACTTTTTCCAAGGTGTACAATGGATGCAAACTTTATCTTGAATAAAAAAATGTATAGACAATCAAATGATGTTGCCATGGGATCACCACTAGGCCCAATCCTAGAGGACTTCTTCCTGGAGAAACTAGGGAATGGTCCTCTTAAAGATGTAATATATAATAATCTTGATTTCTATTGCCAATATGTCGACGAGAAATTGTTAGTTGTGGAGAAAGAAAGTGAGATAAAGGACATAATGGATCAATTCAACAAAACACATTCTGGCACAAGCTTCACTAAAGAAGAGGAAGAAAATGAATCCACCTCTTTTTTGGATGTCATAATGACTAAACCAACAGACGGAACAATATGTAGGCGTTTGCACCGAAAACCTACTTCTACTGGACAATAAACTCACTTCCTGATTTCCGTACCTCTACAATACAAACGTAATCTGGTCAGATGTCCGGTTCACCGGGCTAGTTATCTGTTCAAATGAGACACTCAACGAATAACTCGGTAATATTTGTGATCTACTGAGTAGAAACGGATATCCGACTAGATTCGTGAACAAACACATGAACTCAGGTGCCGACTGTTCCCAAAAAATCAGTGTTCGTAAGATTACAATTCACTGATGTCAATAACGAGATCTTATCGCAACGTCTGAGAAGGGCCTTCAACAGAACTTTCGACGCAGCCAAGCTATGCTGTACATTCACTAGCCAACCAATATTTAGTTCAAGAAGTAAAGATAAACTGCCCTGTTTCGCCTCTCCCATGTGTATTTACCCGTTTAACTGCTCATGCGAACTTAGTCATATATGGCGAACGACGAGGCATGTTCATCATCAAATTTCCGAACACTTCTCATCTTTGTTTGGCAAAGGTCCGGATAAAGCTATAGGCAGTTCAATACTAGATCATTTCGTCAATACTGGACATCAGGTCGACTGTAACAAAGCTTTTAAAGTTATCTACTGTATATCACCCAACCTCATGGTCTACGAGTACAACTTTCACATAGAGAAGAGGCGATCAGAACTTATCTGAACAAGCCAAATCTGTGTGTTCAACAGAAATTTTTACAGCCCCTTTGCTTCCATGGCCAATACATAATCTGTATTAAATGTTTAAAAACGAATTTTCCCCTCCCCTGGTAACTATCTTTTGACTTTGCAAATCTTTACAATTCTAGCCAATTCTGTTAACTTGTTTGTATAATACGTAATTCTCCCGAGTCATCCTATTCTTCTAAGTCACCATTATTTTACAAATTTCTTGATTATGTAATGCCTTGTTACTAACGCCTAAGAATTAAGTTGAATTCCGTAATCAATTTTCACCTCTCTTTTAAAACTGTTATAAACATCTATTAGTTAATTGTTTTGATGACTTTTATTATGGGTAAATTTTGTTTTGATAAAGTCTCACAGCGTTATACAGTAATGTTTACTGATGACGTTTCGAGCACAATTTATTGCTCATAATCATATCAAGGTAATCACACGACTTCCTAAATTCATTTATATAGTTCCATTGTTTTTCTCTTGATTTTCACTTGATTTGATTGGTAATAGTATTTTCCATATTTCAGGTATGAGTGACGAGTCATTCCTATTGCATGTGTTGGGTGTAGACTCGATGAACAAGGATTCAGTAATCAACCTCTCTCTCCACCTACCAAGATTACTTTTTAGAATTTTAACCCTCTCCCACCCTGTCTGTCTGTCTGTTTTCGACATAGAACTTTGCACAAATGTGCGGAAGTTCAAGTCGCCACATTCCGTGTAGCACGCGAAGCAAGAGAAGAAAGTACAAGAAAAGCATAATAGAAACAGTGAGCAGAGGTGTGAGACAAAGGAGTAATAAAGAAATACAAAACAGTTTCATTGAAGATTATTAGTCACAGGGAGTGGATGCATCTGCGCCACTGAGAACGATTTTGAGCCATGTCACCAATTGTTTCCAACCATAGATTTTTACCGTCCCGAGGACCCCAGCCTGGAAGTCTACACCTTTCTACGTGGCTTAGACCAACTGTTGTGGATTTCATTGACTGATGCCAAGTTTTTGTTTGACCGCCGCTAGCTTTTTTCCAGCCTGACCCTATATCCGCTAACATTGCTCGTCAAGGGAGGCGATGGCTTGGCATACGTAACACATGTCCTAACCATCTCAGTCTTTGTAGCTTCACGACTTCGTCGATTGATTTCCCCTGTTTACCTAGAACTCTACGCCTAACCTCCATGTTGCTCACCTCTCCCACCCTATTGTGTGGTTGTGTGTTAGCGCATGCATTGCAATTGCTGAGCTTTTTTCTAAATTACTTATCTTCTCGGGGTCAACCATTCTTACCTTAGCTAAATTTTTATGCTCTGACAATCTGACTACCCCTGACCTACTAGTTTGACCTATGTAGTTTTCCTCACAGTCATTGCATGGTATTTTGTAAATAATATTATTTTGTCTAATTGGGTCAACTGGGTCCTTTAACCTACAGAGCTTGTCCCTGAGTGAGTTTGTAGGTTTAAATGCCACCCTAATTCCTATTTTATTCAGAATCCTACGTAGTGTCTCAGATGTCCCCTCTTTATGTGGTATAACTGTGGATGACATAACATAAATAAGAAAGAATATAAGTCATCCACAGTTATACCACATAAAGAGGGGACATCTGAGACACTACGTAGGATTCTGAATAAAATAGGAATTAGGGTGGCATTTAAACCTACAAACTCACTCAGGGACAAGCTCTGTAGGTTAAAGGACCCAGTTGACGCAATTAGACAAAATAATATTATTTACAAAATACCATGCAATGACTGTGAGGAAAACTACATAGGTCAAACTAGTAGGTCAGGGGTAGTCAGATTGTCAGAGCATAAAAATTTAGCTAAGGTAAGAATGGTTGACCCCGAGAAGATAAGTAATTTAGAAAAAAGCTCAGCAATTGCAATGCATGCGCTAACACACAACCACACAATAGGGTGGGAGAGGGTTAAAATTCTAAAAAGTAATCTAGGTAGGTGGAGAGAGAGGTTGATTACTGAATCCTTGTTCATCGAGTCTACACCCAACACATGCAATAGGAATGACTCGTCACTCATACCTGAAATATGGAAAATACTATTACCAATCAAATCAAGTGAAAATCAAGAGAAAAACAATGGAACTATATAAATGAATTTAGGAAGTCGTGTGATTACCTTGATATGATTATGAGCAATAAATTGTGCCCGAAACGTCATCAGTAAACATTACTGTATAACGCTGTGAGACTTCATCAAAACAAAATTTACCTATAATGGAATTACACTCTACCACAGTGCACAAGTTTTATTCTTATATTGATGACTTTTAACCTATTAATTTCACCCCAATATACCTAAAACTGATTAACTAAACTAACCACTTGATTGATAAAATTTAGATTTAGTAAATTATATATTAGTGTAGAACCGATGATAAGGAGCATATTTTTTCGCACAATCTACTGTTTTTCCTAAATGCGTAAATGAGGATTTGGAAATTACTGAAATCAGTCACTTACTCCTATGGACGGATGTGCCTATATTTTACGCACAATGTTGTACGATTAACTTAGGAGGAAAGGCATCACTGCTAACAAAGCATCACTTCCTGTATCAAAACTTTACTGTCAAATACAATGTCTACTACTGTTTTATACATAAAAATACGGCACCGTAATACCGGGTTGCTTAAACAAAACATAACTTACTTAGCGATCGCTTCAAGCATGACATACAAGCCTGTAGACAAGTAACGTGGAACATTTTGGCTTCCAAATAAAAACTTATTCCTTTCATTTTGTGAAGCAACCAGTACTAGGGTGTCACCCCACCTATATAATGGGAATGTTAAGAGTGGGCACCAACCTTTCCACGACATTGTGTAGCACATTGCAAGAAACGTCGCTGTAGACAGTTTCCGTGATATCTTCTCTTTCTTCATAATACTTCGAGGACCCAAATACACCATCTTTGTTCACAGGGAAAAACTGGACTTGGGGGAGGGAATCCTAAACATGTTAACGTTTATGTAGGAACATTACTGGTAGCTTGTAGTAAGTACCATCTTTCATTTCTACCAAACAATCAATACGACTAAACTGCTCACATAGGGCAACAGAAAATGGCATCACATAATATCTGATATTCTTAGTTTTCATAAGCGTAGACCAAATAAATTGTTTGCTATTTTCATCTATTTTCCAAGGAAACCCAAGACGTTTATCTTCCAAATTTCGCCACAACTGATTCAATGTAATTCCCTCTAGTCCGTTTACGGCAACCTCAGAAATAAGTAACTCCGCGAAATGCATCACGTTAATTGGGCAATGGATAAAGGCACACACGACCTTATGGAGAGGCTGAGCACCTCAAGGTCACATATGCATACTGTGATTGGTAGATTTTACTTTGTGTAAACGCTGCGGCTAATACGTAGCTCACGTTACTAAGGCGGGCTTTGAAATGATAGTAATAAAAGTCACATAAACATTACATTTTTTCAGCTTAAGGACACAAGTTAACGCATGTATTGATTCTACAAATGTGATATGCATGTGGACACACTAAAAAAGAGAATATTATTCGGTAACTTAATCAAAGAAGTATAAAGTTTGAAGATTTAGTCTTTTTCAGTTGATTGTAACGGACAGAGAGGAGAGGCATTTGTGTAACATTTGCATTTTGCAGAAAACAAACTGTGAAAGATAAATTGGAAGTTCTAAGATTCTTTAAGTTTATTATGGGATATATGGACTGTTCATACCGATTCTACTATTGTTCCCTCCCTTGTTCCAATATCCAATCAAATATCCTGATTACGAGCTAGTATAGACCAGTGATTTCTTTGAGCTCGCTTCTTGATTGTAAGGTAGAGGTTCCAAATCTTCGGTGAGCTTCTGCGTAGTAAGTCCCGACACTCGACTGCTTTAGCTCTGGTAGACTCCAAGAGGAGTGGTGCGGGGATTGGTCGAGATGTGGTTTGTAGTATGCAGTATGTTAGGACTGTATTGCTGCCGTGAATGGAGTTTGACCTAACTCCCCTTGGTCATTCGGTGTAGTCATAAAAGCAGAATAGTAATAATAATAATAATAGGTTGTAGTGTAGATAATATAGGTTGAGATAAGTGGAATAATAAAGGTGACCTAAGGAAAAGATAGAGTGAGAGAAGGCAGAATAGGTCGTGGGGATTTAGTTAGTACGCTTATTCATTGACAGTTTGGTTTCAAATTTTATGAGGATAAGCCATTGAGACACAAACCTTGCATTTCTGCATGATTGTCTAGCTTCCGCTTAAAAATCTCCAGAGATGGCGCTGTAGTCACGGCCGCCGGTAAAGCGTTCCAGAGACGGCAAACACGAAGCGAAAAGAAATGTGATCGCACTCGAGTCTTTGGTCTCTGGTGTGCTATCCTTAGCGGGTTACCTCGTGGAAGCCTATAATCGCTTAATGGCAGGATGCTTTTATTTGGGTGGGCCTGGTCATTTAGGATCTTGTAGACGGTGATGAGGTCTCCCCTGTGCCTACGGTAACTGAGTGTGAAAAGACCTAATTTCTTTAGTCTTTCCTCATATGATTTGTTGCGGAGGCCGATCACCCATTTTGTCGCTCGTCTCTGGACACTTTCTAGAATGTTAGCATCCCTTTTGAGTAGCGGAGGTGCAATGATATTATGCACCTCAAGGTGTGGCCTCACATATGCCTTGTATAGCCTTAAGAACAGTTCGGGAGTGAGAGCTCCCAGCTGCCTGTGCATAAAGTGTAATGTTGCGTAGGCTTTGGCGACGTCCCTCGAGTAATTTCCACTGGTGTCTAGCTTTTCTGTTAGAATAAGACCTAGATCACGCTCTGATGGAACACAACTCAAGTTCTGGCCACCAAGGGTGTAATTTACACTCTGTGACCTGCCGGAATGAAGCTGCACTACTTTGCACTTCTTTAGATTGAAAGGCATTCCGTTAGCCAAAGCCCAATTTCCCAGAGTTTGCAGGTCAGCCTGCAATCTATCTGAGTCTTCCGATGAGTTTATTGCTCTCCAAATCTTTACGTCGTCAGCGTAAAGAAGCGCAGAGCAGTTTAGTTGGGAAGGTAGGTCATTGATAAAAATCAAAAACATCAACGGCCCTAGGATAGAACCCTGAGGAACCCCTGATGCCGAGGTGTGCCAGGATGATCGGATGCGGTTGACTTTGGTGCAGAATTCTCTCTCGCCTAAGTAATCTTTCAGCCATGCGAGAAGTGCTCCAGAAACTCCCGCCTTGCCTATTTTGTGAAGGAGCAGACCATGGTGAACTGTGTCGAATGCTTTCGCAAAGTCGAGAAAGATCACGTGGGCTGGTACCTTTTTGTCCCAGGATAGTGTCCAATCGTTCCAGGCTAGTAGAAGATTCGTCACGCAGGATCTTCCCCTCCTGAAACCGTGCTGTGCTTCGTGAAGAAGGTTAGTCCCATCGAAGTATTTTCTCATGTGGTCGTCAATGAGACTTTCCAATATTTTCGATATCACTGGAAGTAGAGCAACTGGTCTGTAACTGGTCGCATTCTGTCGGTCACCACCCTTGAAGATAGGGGATAGGACTGCACGTTTCCATTTACATGGAAGTTTCCCTACATCAAGGGAATGTTGGAACATTCATTGATGGTTATATAAAGAAATCCGCCTATATTTGTAAATGCCACACTACTGACTTTGCATCATTATGTTTATATCATATTATAGATTACACTTTGTACCGTCAGCATTATCTGGTTAGTATGTTGAAGAATCTGGGTGACTGACAAAGTAACTCGTTTAGTTCTTAGAAAACATAAGATAACGGAAATTTTTTGGTGAGCGTCATTACCCCAATTTACTTTGACTAGTTCTTTATCTCCGATATCATTCACACATATATGCGTCAAACATAACGAATCTGTAGTTCTCACTTACAGTGCACCAGTTACCGGTAAGTAAGTTGCTTTCACTGAGGTCGCGCGAATCCAGCTGTGGTGCTCAAAGACTTCTTCCCGTTCCAGACGAGATTGTTAGGTAATGAAGTTCCTCATCTAACTTGCGTATCTCTGAAATGAGCCAAATATTATTTTACGAGTGGGTAACAGCAGTGATTTGCCTTATTAGTCACAATGGTCCCATACTTCTCCTATAGTAGTTGCATCACTCCAGTTCATAGTACTGTTTTCATGTGCACAGATTCTGCGCAACAAATTATAGTGGCTTATTATTGGACGAAACGGAATAAGATATCTCGGTAGATAGAGCAGGTGAGGCTGTCTTGCAGCTTCTGCTGCGACTGATAAGGAAGCCAGATCACAGACTGATGTAGGCCATCAAAATTACATAATAGTGCTTCTACCACCTCCTGTGTACAAACGACTTAAAATTTACACACACATGTAGGCTTTATAGTCGGTTTGCAGTAGATGTGACGACACAATTTTTAGAATGATAAGTGATGTCAAACGTGCATAGATGTACGTTGATAACTTCACAAATATGTCGCCCAAATTTGAGCTGAACGAGACTAGATCTTGATAAATTTGCATAACTTACCTTTCTCAACGCCAAACTCAGTGAGACCTCCAGTTGCCTTCAAATCACCCGATGTAAACAGTTGTATCAGTGATAGTAGTAACTTTACCGTTCCTAAAATGGCAGGAATATATGCATATTTAAGCTTTTATATGTTTACGAACGTTACTGACGTGAAGCCTTCACATGTAGCCCAAACTTAAAGAAATATCACCAAAATGTTAAGAAACGCGATATTCTGGTTTCAAAGTATCTCTTCGTAGACGAGTGGCTTTATTGCATATCCCCGCTAATTGTAGCGTTCATGTCCGTTGCTATGTTGGTCTGGTAACCAGTTATTTTTTTAATATGCTTTTTAAATGAAATTTCACAATAAATAAACATTTCCGACCCACATAATATTGGCGGCATAATGTACTTGAACTGCGTTACATTGCATCCCTAGTATCAGGAAATGTCGCTTGATACTAATAACTGCGCAATGTGGTGGATTAAATAAGGTAGGATGTTCAAAATTTAAATGTTTACTTTGCATTTTCATGGAACGACACAGATATATTCGGCCTATTTTCTGAAACGCTATTGTCTTAATTGGTTTGGTAGGTATTGATATCGATGGCTCGATAATAGAATTTATTTCAGTTTTCATGTACGCTTGACAGTCAGCGGCCAAGTTAAAAGCACCACTAAGTACGGGCGAGGATATAGGCTAAGACCACCCGTTTCCGCGCAGTGCATGGGTTACCGCGTTCACGCCTATAGGCGTTATAATCGCTCAGTTCTGTGAAAATAGATTATATTTGACTAGTTTTAGACTTCTGTAGCCAAAACGGCAGTATTTTGCTGTATTATGTTAGTAGTAAAGCGTAAAATTGTATTTATATCCCGGAAGAATTATTGATAAAAACGTCATCCTTTTTCAGAAATTTCGCATAGAAAGACTATTATTTGCGTTTTACAGCGTTGAGGGGTTGTGTTATGCGAGTTGTTTCAGATCTTAGGGTTGTAAATAGGCTATAGGCAATGGCTGCTGTCATTCCAGTTATTCAATGAGAATCAGGCATATGAAAGAGAAATAGCCTACATACATAAGTTAGATGTGTGTTTTGAGGATGTTAAACACTTCTGTTATCATCTGTGATGACTGAAATATTTCATAATACATCGACGAGATCATGCGACGAATGAGGCAGGCTGCTGAATTTCCTGGCGATTATATCTATTTTGATGAAGTCCCTAGTTAAAATTGCTAAGGCGAAGATGTGACACTAGTTCGATTTACATTTGCACATGGAATTTCAGAAGACCGTAATTCCTCAGTGCATGAAATGGCGTCAGATTATGTTGATATCAGTGTGCACTGGGGCACAAAGAATGGAATAGATGGTTCTTCTAAAATGTCAGACTGCTTAAATACAATATCAGCTTTCAATTCAATAGCAGCTAGCAGCTGTGTTGTAAATGGAGTTGAAGATTGAACGATCAATTCTTGGTTGTTTGCTCAAAACCAACTTCCCCAATTTTCGCGGAGGCATCGATATGACAGTCATCGTCTCATCGGTCGCTGTTCAGAAAGAAGAGTGAAACATCGTCAGAAGTAATATTGTGATTTATTATTGTAATATTTGTTCACAGACCTTAGTTCAGTTATTCTTTTTATATGTTGGTGTAACAATAAAGAAATCTCAAGCGGCAGATCGGTGTTTTGGTTTTTTCCTCCGTTATAACTAAGCGTTTCTGAAATCTTCAAGGAACAGCGTGGGCCCGAGTGTAGCGAGAGCTG